AAAAACTCAGTATGGCTGAGGCTTTGAGAAGTAACTGTAGGAGGCCTAGAGCAAAGCAGGGAGACTTGCTGGGGGGCTGGTGCCATCACCAGCAGGAAGGGACGGTGGCCTGGCAGTGACCTGGAGGAAGTCTGTGTGCTCTCTGGGGCGGCGGGCAGCAGCACTGCAGCTGGAATGGATGTGGACAGGAGAAAGAGAAAAAGAGAAGAGTCAAGGTAACTCTTAAGAGTTTAGGTTTGAGCAACTCAAAGGATGGAGTTGCCACTTACCCAGGCAGAGAAGGTTATCAGAAAAGCATACTGGGGGGAGAAAGAGCCAGAATTAGGTATTTTGAACATTTTGATGTCTATCAGATCCAAGATGAGCTATCCACCCTGTAGGCTTTGACTATTTGAGAAATCCAGGAGAGGTATTGGCTGAAGAGGTTATTTGGGAAATGTCAGAGTATTGATAGTTTTATATGACACTCTCCATGAGTATCAATAGCATTATTCTAATAAAAAAGTTTTGCAAGAACTCATCTTCACAGAGCAAGCTACCCTAGTGCAGCGGTTCTCAACTTCCCTAATGCGCGACCCCTTAATACAGTTCCTCATGATGTGGTGACCCCCAACCATAAAATTATTTTCGTTGCTACTCTATAACTGTAATTTTGCTACTGTTATGAATCATAATGTAAGTATCTTTTTGTTTTCCGATGGTCTTAGGCGACCCCTGTGAAAGGGTCGTTCGACCCCCAAAGGGGGCGCGACCCACAGGTTGAGAACTGCTGCCTAGTGTATACCCTATACTGTAATAGTCCCGTGCTGAGAAGTATCCTGAACTCCCTTCTCCCCTTGAGTTTTGTGTGGTGTATCTTATTTATCCATTTCAAAGGGATTAAGTGCCTTCCTTCTTTCCCTGTCTTACCATGTCCCCAAGAGGCAACCGTGTGGTTGCCAGCAGAGAATAGTGCAGTTGCTCTTGCAGCACATTTTGAGGCAGATGAGAAAAGCCTTCACTCTGGAATAGAAATATCTCAGAGATGACTTGGCTTCAGGACACCCCAAGATGGTAGGGGGCACTGATATGGGAGGGCACAGCAGGATGCTTCCAGGATTCACCTTCCCAGGGGAAGTGTGAGCACTCAGGGAACACCCACTATGGGAGTTGGACAATTGATTGTCTAAACCCAAAGATGGGTGGGGGAAGGTGTAGTGTGCAAAGATACACACAGGCTTTCCTAGGCTTTACACTGCTGCAAATGGCAGATGCCTAATTAAAGCATTTGCAATTATACTTTGGCTTGTTCTGTGATTCCTTTTTGAAAAAAAAAAAAAAGGAAAAAAAAAGTGAGAGAATAATATATTAGCTCTTGGCCATCTAGTTGTAAAAAAACTTTTTCTCTCATCATCACCCTTGTCCTGCTTGGAAAAGAGCTGAACCACTGTGTACACATAGTACAGTGTGACTAACCCCCTTGTTCAAAACAGTGTTTTCCTCCCATTTCATACAGGAGTATGATTATCCATTTGCTTTTAAAGCATGATTCTTTATTTTGAGTTTAATGAAAGTTTTTAATATGGGTGTTTTATTTTTATTCAATGAAGGTAACAGGCGTTCTCATTCTTGCTACCCTTCTGATTCAGCACACTTGGCAATGTCATCTGCCTACTCAACATGCAAAGGCTATATTTTTTAATGATGGGGAAAAGCATTCAGTAGACTTTGAAAGAACTTGAGGTGTGTGTGTGTGCGCGCGTGTGTGCGCGTGTGTGTGTGTGTGTGTGTGTGTAAATAAAGAGTTGCACTTATTGCTACTTTATAATAACCACTTACTTGAAGGCATAGACGTTTTTTTCACTGTAGGTGGGGGAAGGGGGAGTCCATTCTAAATAGAAAAATGTGAACCACGTGTGACTATTTCTTTCCCTCATGTATTCATTGGACATTTAGTTGAGTTTTACAATGGTTCTTAAGAATTTTTAGCCTAGTTAAACTTAGATGTTTCATCCAATAAGTATATTCAGCAGATGGCTCCTGAGATAATGATGTTGGGTGTCTGCAGAACATTTGCACGTGTGGATTATATGCATTCTTGAGAATGTGGCCCTTCTCCATACCGGTGATAACTACAAAACATAACACTTTGGGGAGACTGTCACCCCACAAACATTGTAAAGAATGTTTCTTTATATCAAGATTAAAAAAAAACATAACATAAAAATGAGGTTTTAAATCTGATGTTCACTGTTTTCTGTTTTCAGATTGTGCGGCCAAGTGCCTCAAGCAAGAATGTCCTAAAACCAAAATAATAATAGAGTAGCAGTTACTCAAGATTCAAATAAAAGTTAACATATAAACAAGCAAAGGTAAACCAAGCTCAAATAGTTAGTGCAATTATTATTTAACAGATAGTTTGGGTTAATAGGTGGAGACATGGTTCTGCCACTGTATTTAAGGTTAGGTTAATAATTAACTTTGGTGCCTGGAATAGTTTAATCAAAGCTTACTGTAAATCATAAAACTGCTCCATGCTGACTAAACAGGGTGTTAAAAAAAAAACAACAACAACAACAACCATACAGAATACTTGCAATCTTTACCTCTGGTAGCCATTTGGATAAGGTGTAAAAAAATAGGATATTGTCATTCAGAATTGAGCACAGGCATCTTTACTTTTGGTAGAAAAAACCAAACAAACACGTAAATAAAGGATTCATGCACCCGGAAACAACACATCCCCCGCCATCAGTGGCAGACCATGGACTCGATGCCCAAAATATGTATGTCGGAAGGAAAACCGACAATTATCAGGGTTAGAGAAAGGAAAGCCAAAGCCACTCGACCTTCCTATTCTGAAAAGACTTTAAATCCCAGCGCTGGGGGGCATTACATTGTTTTCCTGAGACCTGCTGGCAGGACACTGCAACTCGGTTAAACATCTTTTCTGATTTCAGGCAAAGAAAGTTCGGTGCGTACAAGTGTGAGAAAGCGTGTGTCGGGCGCGCCTTGTTTTTAAACCTTTCATGGATCACATTATGTAGCAACGTGATTTCCATCCAGCATAAGCAGAACGGTCCCACGGTGGCTGTGTCTGGCCACCGCATGTCTAAAGCAGCCACCTTTCTCCCAAGGACCGACACCGAAGGGCTGATGGGGCTACCCACTGCGATACAGGACCGGAGGCCGCTCCTGTAAGTGCTTGCCTTGGCTGTGAAGACGGAGGTTCCGGCCCTGCTCCACGCACGTCAGGCTACCTGCTTGGCTTCTCCCTGGGCACCCGCCGGCTGGAAAACTGCGCGCGGGGCGCAGGAACCTGGGGATGCTGCACTTGGAGCTAGTAGTTGGAAGCCAGCGAACCCGCGCGCAGCCGCTGGCCAGAGTGGACGCATCAGCACCCCGAGTCCTGAACATCCCCTTCCTCGGCACACCCACCCACCCCTTCCCTGAGTGCATGAGAGACTGGTCCAGCCAAGTGCAGCGCCGCGACCCCAACCAAGCGGACCGCGGGGCCGGAGGGGCGCCACTGTCTGAAGTGCCGGCGCCTCGCTCCTAGCCGCGCCCTGGGCCGTCCACCCGGCTTCCCTTGGGGTTCGGGTTCCCGCGGGCTGCACATGCAAAGCCTCAATCCTGTTGTTCCCCACCCACCCCACCCCCCGCCCCCGGCTTTCAGAGAAACTTTCCAGAAGCGCCTGGTCGAGTGACCCGTGCTGGAAAAGGAGGAGGCGCTGAGCGGAGGGGCGGCGAGGGAGCGGGAAAGGCAGCGGAGTCCTGTTTCCTTTCCCGACACACAAGCTCGCTGGCTCCCCCTGTAGCGCTCGTGTCGTGGGAAGAAGCAGCGGACCTCAGGAGCCCGCTTTGCACCGTGTACCACAGCGAGGAGCTGAGAAAAAAGCGGAGAATCTGAAGAGACACTTCCCACCCCAGCATGGTCATGCAGGGTGGGCGGGCATTATCCCGCTGCTCCCGAGCTCTCTGCTGCCCGCGAGGCAGCGCCATAGGACGCAACGAGTAGTTCGGACATTCAGAAACTGGGGCCGGGGCAGAGCCCTTGACTGGGTAGCAAGCACTGGGCCATCTCTTGCCAGGTTTTTTTCCACCCTTACACCTCCCGGAACCTCCTTTCCAGAAAGGGGCCTTGTAGATTCTGGAGGAGGTCACAGCGGACGCTAGCCCCGGAGTGGAGGATTCTGTGCTTGAGGGGGAAGCAGCCACGACGGATGCTGTCCTAGACTCCCAGGAGAGAGCTGCAGCGAGGGATAGGACCCAGGGTGGGGGTGCCGCGCCACACCGGGAGGAGACCGCTCCTGGGCACTCATTCGAGCAAACAAAACAAAGCCCGGCACCTCTGGTGCCAGCGGCCGCAGTAACAGGGATGTCACCAAGTGGCAGGGCGTGTGGGTGCCATTACAAGTTTCCCGCACTCCACAGAGCCCAGCCCAGACACCGCGCGGACAACAAAAGATTCTCTTGGTTTCCCCACCGTCTCTGTGCAGCCCCTTCTCCCACCCCAGAACCAAACCCTGGTGCTGGGCGAAAACAGCGCTCTTCTACCCAGCCTCTTCTAGCCCTCGAGGGCAGACTACCTCTTTCCCCTGCTTTCGCACCAGGACAAGGCACTTCCGAGAATCCCACCCTCTCGGGCTTTTCTACTCCCTGCTGGCCCGAAAGTGAGGACGAGCCCCGGGTCCTTCACACACATCCCCGGGCCAGGCAATCATCCGCGCGGTCGCGGTCGCGGTCGCTATCCCGGGCGGCGCCGGGCGTGTGCGCGGCGCGGGTGGGGAAGCCCGCAACACGGAGCCCGGCGGTCTCTGGGGGTCAGGGCGGAGAGGAGCAGCAGGCTGGGCTCACAACTGCTCCCCCAGGGCCGGGCAACAATCGGGAGGCAGAGACAAGACAAAATAAAACGCAGGCAACCACAAAGCCGCCAGCGCGGGCCAGCCGTGGCCCCAAGCCCCGCAGGCTGGAGCCGAGCCGCCCCGGAGGTGGAGCGCGCCAGGGCGCCACAGCCGTACCTTTTCGGTGCATCGACGGGTAGGCGGCCGGGGCTCGGAGCAGGCTGGTACGGCGTGTATCCCATTTAGTAATCCATTATCGAGGGGCTCTCTCCGGGCCGCGAGCTGCGCTCTTCTTCGCAAGCCTTTGTCATTCCTACATGTGTGCTTGTCTCTTTGGGGATAACAGTCGCTGCGACTACTTTCTGGGATGCAAACGCTCTGTATTCATCTCCAATAACAGGCGAGAAGGGGAGAGGCAAAAAGAAAGAAAAAGCCAACAAGGAAGGAGTAAATGTTCAAGAAACTCTTTTCCAAATCCAAATTCCACTTGGATTCCACTCCGGTGAGTCCTTTCGGTGGTGTCTGCGCCGATTAACAAGTCATTTCAGGGTGGGGAGCAGGATGGGGGGCTGGGGCTGGGGTGCACCCACTATCCCCGCTCTACGACCGAGAGCGCTGTGCTGCGAGTGTGGCGACGCTGGCCGCTGCCACCGCTCCTAAGCGGGCATCGCGGGCGGTCGGCCCCAGGGAGAAGCGCCGCTGCTGCGTCCCGAGCGCCTGGGCAGCTGAGTGCGCCGGGAGCGGAGTTGGCTGCAGCCTCACCCCGTGAGGCACACTACTCCTCTGTCACCAGAGAGGCCGCGGCTCCCGGGCGGAGCCAAGTCCCGGACTGGATTACGCACAGCGGACTTTCCTCCTGCAACCCCGCCTTCTTTGGCTGGCGTCTTCTCCGACCCAAAGGAGAGCTGTGGTGTTTGTGTGTGAATGCGAGTGAACGAGGCGGAGAGACAGAATTTACGTGGTGTGGCAGCAGGTGGAGCCTTGGACCGACTGGCCAGAGAAGCTTCCTACCACCGCGATTCCCCGCCCCGCCGCGTGCTGGGCGGAGGTCCCCGAGGGGGCGACTCGGGCTGGAGCCCAGCCCTTGCCTCCCCCACCCCCGCATCTGCTCCAGCAAGGGGAAAAAAAAAAAAATCCCGGACAGCATTGCTGAGTCCTGCCAAATCAGAAAAATAAATAAAAATAGACGTAGTGCAGGAGCGAGTTACAAGAAAGGATTTGTTCATCGATTTTCTTAAATGGAAAAGTTTTAAAGCATGAGGGTAAGTGAACGGCGAGCCTTCCTAATTCTGGTTACTGTATCAAGAGGTAGATTCCAGAAATGATGGACGCTCTACGCCCCCAGATGAATTGGATAGAAGCCGGTGCGGTTAATATACACTTCGAAGATATGAATGAACACGGCTATTAGTTAACGCACATATAACACGTTAATAAAGCGTGTTAGGTAAGCAAATAAACCATACATAGTACAAAGAGTGGTGTTATTAACGACGACCTGTTTTAAAATTTAGAAAGTGTATAGACTGTTCTTAGAAATAAGTAAACTTCAGAAATAAGACGCAGACAATTCCAATGAGAATCCAACAGCTTCATGGCAGAAGTAAATCGCAGCTTATTCCAAGGCGCTATTGTTATGATCGCACGAAGAATGGCAGGCACAGCCTTCCTCCACCGCTTGAACTTTCAATCGCCAAAACGCCTTGCTCTTACAGGATTGTGACAACTGGTCGGGCCACACCAAGTCCCTCTCCCCCAGCCCCTGCGCGCTCCCGGCCGCGCCGGCTTTCCGCGCGAACAACTGTCAGCCTTGGTCACTGCCTCCCAAGTGGGCTTCGCAGATGGTGCGGGCGTAGTCACCGTCCTTAAAGAGAGTGACACTGGGCAGCCAAGCAGTTCTCGAAGCATTATTTATTAGTCATGGGGTCGGCCCAGAAAAGCACTGGGAGGGAGATTGGGGTCTCAGTCATTCTTAGGCCGAGTGCTCACAAATAAATGCATTAGAAACTGAACCTGGTCCCCAATTGAGGCTGGGGCCACTAAGAAGTGGCGTTCCCTTTTTTGCCAGTCTTGCTGGCAACTCAAGTTACGCACAGACGTCTGTTCATGAAGACTCACGAAGAATAAATGCACACGCGACAACACTATATCTGGGGAAATGTACATATT